AGACAGTCACGGGGTGGGGTGTGAGGGGGATGCAGGGCTGAGGAGGCCGCCAGGGGAGGGAGGCCCGCCAGCAAGCTTTTGTTCTTGGGAGTTCCTCAGCCTCCGCTGAAATCGGCCCCTCCAACTGTACGAGTTAGCACAACTAGGACTTAAAAGAGTTTCATATTACAAGAAACTAGACACGATGTCGTGAATCTCTACATTCTGAGGGGGCCTGCCCACCCCCCTAGGATTTGCCAGGAAAACCCCAAAAGGGAAAGAAACCTGGGCAGCCTCGGCCATCTCCGCACCATTTGCAAAGTTTCCCCTCCACTACGTCCCCTTTCATTGTTTCCATGAGTCTGAGTTCAGTAGCAGGACCTTGTGCGCCCCGGGCTACTGACCCCGAGTATTCCCACCCGGCTGCCGGCGGGTCCCAGCTTCGTTCCTCTGAATGGAGGACGGCGCCGGGGAGGGGTGCAGGAGGGTGAGGGGTCCCCGAATGCCCGGGGGATGGGGACGCCACCAAGGGCAGGGGTCAAATACCTGAAATTGCGGCGGGGGAGCGGTGAAGGGCGCCAGAAAGGTACCTGAGTGTTGGGGGGCACCTGGGAGAGCCCGGGGAAAGCGAGGGGTGCCGGGGTCAGTTACCCAAGGTCCAGGTAGGGGTGGAGGGGCGGTGAGGAGGACCCGGGAGTGCTAAAGCGTAAGTGGGAGGACCGAGGTCGATCAACGCCTCCCTCCAACAGAGATCGAACAATGGGGGGCGCCCGCCCCCAGCGGAAGCCCAGCTTAGCTTTCGGCTCACAAGAACCACTCTTCAAAAACATCCCCTCCCCCAACTCATCCCAGCCAGTTCTAGACCTGACAGTCCTTCACCAGTAGACAAGGCCTTCCAGGGGCTACCCTGGGCTCTCCCGAGCCCAGTCGCTTGTCCAGACCTCCACGCCCTCGCCTTCTCATTCTGCCCCTTGGGGAGCGGTCCGCAAGGAGCACTACTCCCAACGACAATGAAAGCCCCGGGTTTTGAAGTTTAATTTTACTCCCGCTAGGAACGCCTAAGGTGAGGCGTGTTTCAAAGCCAGCAGCTCAGAAGCAAACGGACAGTACCAGTACCCCACGTGAAAACGGAGCCGGGGAAACCGTCTTGGGTTTGAGGCTGCCAGACTCTTAACTGTATTCGCTGGACGAATCTAAAAAAATGTGTGGAGTTACAAAAACTCCGGGGCGCTCCCGCGCGTGCGCAGCAGCACCCCCCGCCCCCGCCGCGGCTGGCTTCCCTGAGTGATTAACTTCTGTTTTGAACCACTTCACATAAATCACAACAGAAAAGCCAACTGTGGCCCACGACGGAACATTCGGGTACCTCTCCGTCAGGCACTCAAAAAAGTTCACTTCAAAAGGGAGTTATTCTTTGACCTTTCGTGGTGTTTTTCCCCCCCCCCTGTGTATTTTGTTTTTAAACCAGATTGACGGCAAGTTTTAGTTGTAAAACTTCCAGAAACGCTTCTTGGAAACAATGACAGGCTCACTCTTTCACACTTACAACCAAGCCTGCCTGTCATACTTGGACTCATTCTGACTACACGCCGCTTTGAGCTGCTTGCTTTCAGTCCTAATTCTTCATCTCGTCCCAAATTCTTCGTGGGAAAACTATTAGAACCCGGGACTTTTTTAAAGTGTGACTTTCCGAAGCTTCCGAGCCAGAGTCGCATTCCGTCAATTATGAAAACACCCCATACCCAGAGAAGAGAGAGCCTGGGTCCAGGTGGGAGGGAGTGGGGGGCCCTGGAGCCCAACTTTCTGACAAAGGCGCTCCCCGCCGCCCCAGGGTCCCGACGCTGAAAAGCGGGGCGGGGGTCCCTCTGACCTGGGCCCACACATCCCGCCCGCGAGAAGCCACGCGGTGGCTCAGTGGAGCGTGGGGTGTCGGCTGAGACAATGAAACTTGGAAGCGCACAAACAAGGCGGTGAGCTTGTTTCTTGACAACGTGCCAGCAGCATGGAGAGGCCCGTCTCCTCACCACAGCCCCTCATGTTGTGTCTGGAAGGAAAACAGCAACTGCCATTTCAGAGGCAGCTTCAACAAAGAGAACGGCCGCGGTTTCAGCCGGAGAGCCCCGGGGCTGGGAAGTCCACAAAGTCACTCTCTCCCCAAGCTCGGCGCGGCCGAGCGGGCACGTTTTCCCCGGACTAGCGCCCACCCGGAGACAGCCCGCAGGGCCTTACCTTTCTTACTTTTCATTCTGGAGTTCCCCTTCCAGCGCGAGGCAATACTGGGGCCTCGAGGTGCCAGGAGCAGGGGCTCAGGGGTGCAAGTGATTGTTCTCCTTCCCGGCGGACTCTCCGGTAACTTGTAGGACGCGCTCTAGACGTTATTGCTAAACAAGGAGCTCAGATCCCAGGCACCCGCTTCTTGGGTGGAATTCAAGTGACACTTAGGCTTCCTCTGCCGGGATCTTCTGGCAGCCGTCCGGGGGTTCTCCTTCACCCAACTTGCTCCCCTCCCCACGCCGCTTCTTTGTTCCCGGATCCTGCTCGGCGCACCTCGGCGCTGTCAGAGTGAGAGGC